ATTCGGTATGAAAAATGGCCTGGATTAGGCCCTGGCATCACCCACACAATCCCATCTCCTATCAGCGAGTCACCCAGGGAGACCCACCTGTGGCTGGGAGAGCATGTCGAGACTCCACGTGCAGAACTTGCCGTCGGTGGACACGCTCACCAGGTTGTGAGCGTTCTGCGAGCCAACCACGTTCACACAGTACACCGGATGCGTGTGCGCCGCAGCCGACAACGGGCTCCGCTGCACTGGCGTTCTCTTGTTCAGCCTGTTGTCCCAGACTACGATCTGGCCGGAGTATGTTCCGCCGATGACCAAGTTGGGGTGAAACTTGGCAAACGTCGCCGACATCACGGCAGACTAGAAAACAAAAGAACAGGACGTTACTATCATCTAAACAAAGTATCTAGTATAAATAATATAATATAATATATATATATATATATATAGAAAGAGAGAAAATAATATAATAATACAGGCAGGAGTAAGCAATTGCAATACTTTTCAACACATACAGACTATGAGTAGAATAAGCTTTTTTCACATCTTTCCATGACATAACAAAGTTTTTTTCCCCATTGTGATAGCTAGTTAACATAGGGCATCAACTTGCAGTGGCAAGCAACACAATCAACAGTGAATCAAAATCTGACAAACCTGGCAGTGGAAGACATATTCAGGGGTGGTCTTCTTAAACTTTTGGTTCCAGACAACCACCACACCCTCTGGCTCGTGAGTTGCATCTCCATTCTGATTGTACGATGTCACCAACAATTCTGGATACTACAAGTACAGAACAGTACAAATTATGATGATGCGAAATCGAATTTTCAGGACGTGGCATTTCAGTCATTTGACTTTCATAGTGAATGATATATAATATCGAAATCACATTTAGTATTGACTTCATGTACATTATTATAATATATTGCTTGTGAACCAACCAGTATGTTAGTATTTTAAATGGCTTGCCATATTACCTGTGTTGACCAGTCCATACTGGTTACACAGCGATGTTTGGACCACCTCTCATCGAAGAAAGTCCGGTTTAGTGATAGTCTGGCACCAGTGTCCTTCTCCCTGGATCCAAATAATTACACCATATAATTACAACAATTGTAAGGCACTTGACAGAAAACAAACCATACAATAATGCTTAACAGGAATAAAGAATGCACGCAATAACAGCAATACTAGTATAGATAGTACATGGGATAGCACAATATGGATATTCTTATCGGATTTTATCGATTTATCTAAAATGTAGACAGATCTATAAACAGTCGATTGTTTCATGAATGCAGTTTATAGCAGCTAAAATACATCGGACTCAATACTTTATGCAATGAGCGACAAGACCGATAAACTTCTATCGCTATCTCACCCTTCTCCTTCGTTGTCGCTGCTACCGGCGTAGTCCTTTAAGATGTCCGAGTCCTCGCACAGAGCACGCTCCACGACCTTGCTCGCTCGCTCGAAGAAACGCGCAAACTCTTCTGATTTCATCACCTGCTGCTGCTCCTCCTCTGACAGCTCACGAGGTGGTACCACTGTAGCACGAGCATTCATCATAGGTTAGACAATGTACAATGTAAAATATATTTAACGTTACAGTTGGCAACTGTCAACGCCTACTGTCCGAGGTTAGTTGTGGGCTATTGTACTGCACACCCACTGTGAGCTTACACAAGGAGATGATGTGTGACATATATACAACATCAGAAGCTATCCGCTGACGCACTGTATCACGCAGAATCACCAGTCATACTACGAGCGAACTATCTGACAATGGTTCTTGTAATCACTATTTAAATTCCAACGACTTTTACACAAAGGAATGTGGGCACATAGAATGTGTCATATTTCTGCGGCATAATACGATATGAGATAGCCACTTACCTTCCTCCTCAGCTGGTGGCTCATCATTTGACCCCTCTGCTGGCTTAACTGGCTCCACGTGTGGAAGGTGATGGTGCTTGAGTATAGGGGGTGTCTCAGGCAGGCTCATATCCCCTTCCTCGTCTGTGGACGGTGCATAGTCGGGATACACCAAAACTAGACGGTTAACATGAATCAACACTGCCCGACAGCAACTGCCATGCTACGTAATGTTTACACGAGCTCTACACATGCTGGCACCTCGGCTAGCCTAGAAGTGCTCAAGGGTCATTCGTGTTTTACATGCCATTTCTCAAGCATTTATTTCACAATTGTCTCTGTTTGCACGCTTTTGTGATTATTACTTGCAGATATATGGGTTCGGTGGATTCATGATGGTTTTTACTAAGCTGTTTTTAAAAGTGTTTGGTCATCGATGTGTAAAATACACAGCATTTGATGAGCATTTGGGACATTTGAAAACCATTTAAATAATTCTATGATAGATGGATTCAGGAATATTGCCAAGCAGTGAATAACTGTCAAATCAACATTAATGAAATGATATTTGACATTTTTAATTAATAATATATGACTTAAGTGAAAGCTCAATCATCTTAATGAAACGAAATATTTGACCCAAAGATTTCTTGAAACCTAGGTACAAATTAAACAGGCTACTTATTACATGTACACTTCACAGAAATTATCTCTCATGTACAACATTATAAAGGACAAAGACAATGGACATTACTACACATACATCATAATTGTTTTAACTTTTATACGGACATATAACGTCCTTGAATTTCTTTCAAAGTCAATAGCTTACCACTGCCACTGACCCTGCTCTCCACCTGATTCCAATGTTTCCATGATTTCCAGTTTTTACTCATCGTTTGCCATTTAAATCACCATAACATGGCACGAAATACATTATATTGTCAGAGGTATTTCTTGCTATATTTGCTATATTAATGTCACCTGGATCATCACTGGCTAGCTGGGTAAATGACAGAAGTAAAACACTGACTGATCAACCAGTGTTCCTGGGTGTGTCCTGTGGAAAGAATAGGCATACAATCGTGCAGAAACGTGACTAAAAGACAGCGAACACTTGGCACTTATAGGATAAATGCAAGCATAATACGTTCCAGCTTTACTTTCATGCTGTTGACCACACCCACCGTTACACATGCAAATCAGCCATAACCAAATGAATAGGCAGGCAAACACAAACACACGAATACGACATGAAAAGCATAATACTCGTACAGGAAAATTCGGAGTCAAAGCTGCAACCTAGGGAAGAGATGAAAAGAAAAAAATTCAGCTGTAATGACACTTGTGTGACTCGGTCAACTGTTCTCACTCCTAGGCCAGATGACTCCCGTCTGTCGCTTACGTTAGCCCGACCTTCATTTTCACCTCTAAACTCTACACCCGATGTGTATTATTTGTGCCAAACAACGTGTTTTGTATATGTTGCAGTGCGGCAATGACAACTTCATAGAAAATATCCAACTTTCTGTTGTCCTACAAACAGTAATGGTGCTGGGAAAATGCTTGCTCTAGATATTGAAATGACATGCCTCACTTGCATTGGGCTATCAGCTTTAGCACCTACAACTTGTAATACAAAAGGTACACAGAATGCAACTAGGTTTTGTATATGATTTCGCAGCGACAGCACATGGAATGATCTGGGCTATAGGGCTGGTCAGCACGTTCTCAGCCACTGGCACAACATCAAAACTGCACTGTGACAACCAATGAAAACATCAAGTGGTCCTCAAATTAACGCAACCTTCACAGAGTATTACGCACACTTCAGTTTTGGCACTTGCCACTATTTGACAACAATCTGTTGAACAATGTTGTTCCCATGAGACACTTTGAAACTAAAGTCATGCTAAAACCCAATGAACTCAATATTGTACAACTGCTGTGCATTTATCATTGCCTGTTTCGAAACTGACCAAGAACAGCAAAAATGTCGAGATAAAACTACAAGCATGGCAAACGTCATGATGCATCAATGAAAGTGAGAGATACTGTCCTATGGTGATCACTCAAATTAGTGAAAATATAAAAGCATTGCATACGCATGTGTAATATGCCCCCAATTAAACCACTCGTTTACAGAGAACCAGGCAGCGATTTATCTTGCACTAGCAACATTTTTACACACGGTTCAAAACACCTATCTACTTCATTTAGCGCCATAGATACAATAGATGCACTAATCACGGTTTATAATCTCCCATACTTTCATGGATGCACGTGTGCAGCAGGCCCTGATATTTTCTGCATGGAAAAATACGTCCAAGTAGAAAAAGCCACGTAGCATAATGGCCGATGAGGCAGACGACTTAACACTCGGCAGCTCACCTTCGTGAAATTCGTCCTCCCACTCGAAAGCGTGATGAACATATGGTTCATCTTGAAAGCAAGTTAGAAAAACGACGTGTAAACAAAAGATGCACAAACACACACACATACACTGCAGCATACATTGTTAATAACCAACAAATTGCACCTAGATACGGTCGTTCAGATAATTGCCCGTTTTCCAAATTATTATCCACGACATATCGAATTCTACAGCATTTTCCCGAAACTACTAACTGGATTTGCGAGTGTGAAAGCTGCCGATTCTCCAAAAAGTACTGCTGTCATATAAAAGCATTATTGTTAATATGCATAAAGCTGCAAATTGCGTAGCAGAAGTGATACACATGCAGTACACTGATATCAGAGTTCTAACGCTTCACTTTTGAATCGAGCAGATTGTTCGGTGCACGTGGATTCATGTGGAATTGTAGACAGGTCCGTTCATGCATGTGTGAACTAATTTTGTTTACACACAGAGGTGAACTTTAGGTGTTGTACATGTCATTCTGCATTCCATGCTGATGAAGCAGGTGTTCTACAAATATAGTGAGGATAGTCATACCAGACTATCAGCAAGGGAATTACACTGCTATATATATATATATATATATATATGCAACAAACATCGCTATTTTCCTTGCTGCTAATTATGATTAGATGTTAATGAAGTTTCCATATGGAAAGATCTACACGTGCACCATGCTGGTAATATGTCGACTATGCTTGGCCAATCTTTAGAATTGTGCCACTCAAAAAGTGCATATACATCAATTTATTTTATAAGCAAGATCCAGGCCTGATGACAAAGCAACCTCATAATTTTTAAATGATGTGCATCCCAACGAATTTTCATAAATAGTCATCTTTAGCCACGACAAAAAGCGATACCATCATTTGATGCTGTGTCATAGCAGATATTTCACAAAGATAATTGCTGTGATATGGTGAGGGTAATATCATTGTACCATGAACCAAGATGCAGGAAAATAGACACAGGATGGTAACGATATCATGGTTGAGATTACACCTGCAAAGACATCTCAACATAGTGCCAGTGGATCGACGTGGCAGTAAGTATCTGTTGCAAGAAAGGCAGTACCGTGACATAGGTCAAGTTACAAGAGGACGAGCGATTACAAAGTTCATGTCATGACGAAGGTCACATTTTGTGCCATTACCCAGATCCTAGGAGAGATCAAGTAAGACCATGCCAAGACATCCCTCAAGTGGAGCGGTTGCGGCATGACAGATGCAAAACGATGAGAGTTTACATCATGATACAGGTCACACTGCATGTCCTCAGAGATGTAAGTGGTAGTTGTCCAAAAAATAGGAAAGTAGTAAGACACTCCGACAACAGTGGTTGTGGGCCACTGGCCACGGCCACTAAATTGGGGGGGGGGGTTGAATGGCACCATGAAGGGAACATGGCATGTCCTTGCGTAGGCGGAGGTGCTCGAGATAGAGACTTTTTGGAACTTTCAGTGTCCATAGATTCAATTTCAGACCAACTCACAGCATCGGAATCTTTATTGAAAATATCAGAAAATCGGAATTCCGTCAAAAATTGGAAAACTTACATCTCTGATGTCCTATCAATTCGGTTCGTGTTACACAAGATTACGACATGTGAGGTCATGCCATGACGGACAAGGGGACACATGCCATGTTATAAGTCACTACGCCATAAGTTAAAAGAAGGACAGAAGGCAATTAATGACGGAACACACTCCAGCGCTAGCGATTGATTACACGTGGCAATATAGTTGGAATAACGAGTTTGAAACATGAGGGATGTAGTACAGTACAATACAGTACAACACAGAGCAGACTCACCAAGATCTCAATGGGACAGATTCATTTTTTCTCACTTGAAAAGAGCTGAGGAATTTTACCAATGCGACTGATCCAAATATGAAGCACGAGCAACTTCTCTCAAATCTGAAGTTCTAAACACATTAATGAAGAAATTGGGTTTGACCTGTCAACATCAACTACTGGATTCATCATGTACACGTGTAGGGACATGTGACACCGCGTGTGTAGAACGATTCATTATAGCAGGAGTAGATAATAGGGAAGGAGTGTGACTTCAATAAACAAGGGAAGTTTGTCATTTACTAGCCTTATAATACCTACAATTTACTACGCGTAACTCATCCAACTTGAGCTCAAATCGTACACAGTACATTCGCCTAGCATCGTGCGACATCGTTTCCTCGTATACACCAGCAATCCGGAGATACAGACTAAAACGTATGACACGATTATCAATTCTTTGGCCATCAATCCGAACGTATTCCCCGCCAAACTTGCAAACAAAAGGCAGCTACTAACCACTCTTGCTCACTCGGCGAGGTGGTGTGGCTCGCAGGGAGATTGCGGTGGGCGTGCGTGCGTAGGGGGCATACCAGCTGTATGCCGGTATGTAGCTGTATGCCGGGTCAAAGGTTATCTCGCCGAGTGTTGCGTCGATGCCCAATCTCCCAGCGAGCCACACCACCTCGCCGAGTGAGCAACAGTGCGGTAGTAGCTGCCTTTTGTTTGCAAGTTCGGCGGGGAATACTTTCGGATTAATGGCCAAAGAATGGATAATCGTGTCGTACGTTTTAGTCTGTATCTCCGGATTGCTGGTGTATACGAGGAAACGATTTCGCACGATGCTAGGCGAATGTACTGTGTACGATTTGAGCTCAAGTTGGATGAGTTACGCGTAGTAAATCGTAGGTATTATAAGCTCCTTCCCTAGGCTCCTTCCCTATTATCTACTCCTGATTATAGGGATGTGAATGTGCGTCAAACAACCAGAAAGCCAAGTCTGCACAAACTACAGTAGAATGCCCTTAATCGTGAGGTCTGTGTGAAGTCGACTGCGTAAACAACAGAAACCCTACTGAACACTAGAACAAAATAATTTAGTAATATAATTGGAGTACCAAAAACAAACTATTACAATGATACTAAACCAGATACACATAATAACAGAGCAAACCTCAAAATCTTAGGACGTGCCTGCTCACTATAGTAGGCAGAAATGATAACACAAGTTTTTAAATGAAGTTCATCTTAACGGTTAAGACCTTCTCCGCTGACATCACAATTGAATAATCAACAAATATCTGAACAAGCGCCCCATGGTAAGTGCTGTCGTATGTTCCCACTTCACATTAGTGCCACGTGGCGGTTTAAACGATTGTATGATTTGCAACAAACTCACTATTCCATCCACAGAGAAGTGTCTATGTCCCACTCAGAGAAGGTGCGTTAATCGTCAGACCTGGACTTGCCAGCTTAATTTTACACTAAAGTACATATAGACACCGACTGCACAACATCAACTGCAAAGATGGGATCAGCTCACTTGAGGATGATTGCTCAGTTCTTACCAAGTGCACCTTTATTTATGCAGTGCAACTTATATGTAGTGTACTGAAACTATTTCAAAAATGTCAAGGTTTCACTATTTCACAATAGTTCCACTATTTCAAGTTTCAGCCATTTTTCAGAAGTACTGCTACATTAGTTCCAATCACGCCTATGAGTCACATTGAAACATCCCATCACCACTGCACTGCAAACAGTATAAGTGAAGTACAACAAAACATTTCACTTTAAGTTTTCATAGATTGGCTAATGTAAGAATTGAGCAATGATCCACAAGCACATGAGCCTTGCCCACAGGACCTGAAGAACGAATCAATAAGCTAGAAGCAACTGATAGGCACAGGATGAGGCTTATGGAAGGAATGGTAGAGTTAGCCTCATAAGCATAGCTCAGTTTGTCACCTTCAAATAATTGCGTAAATACCCATTGTGCATGTAAAGCCTACATGTACCAATCCTACACATTACAATTATATTATTGCCACGTAGCCTCATCTAACAAATACAGCCAAATATGCTGGTGATTGGTGACCTGCTTACAATCTATGATTCCAAATTAGATGCATCTTAATACAAGCTGTGACACATATTGACAACACAGGCCAACGATCTACAAAAGAGTAAGACATTGCATTAATTGCAAAGATCGCACCAACCCTTTTTAAACACGACACTGTCATCCCCTCAGTCACCCCGACAACTTTTTCAGATACACAGTACCGACATGTCAGACCTGACATTATTTTTTGTAGACTGCACCACAAATCTACACTGCCAATGTAGAACCTGGCAGCGAAAATTTCGAAAATTGCAGGAGATCACTGCAATGAGGCAACGTGGTGTGTGGCATGGTGGTGGCGGTGGCGACTAGCGCAGGAGTGCGTGTGCGATGGGGTGCAGGTGACGACGACAAGCTATGATACAGGTGCGACGTGCTGCTCGCAGGAATGAAAACTTACCGTAGTAATCCAATGAGCCACCTTAGGTAAGAAACGACACACGGAGGTTACTATATAAACGTTAGTAGTTCAACTACCACACCGCAGGTCACGCAACACCGATGGACGTGGGAGAAATTATATGTGGAACCGTTTGGTTAGAAATTACACAGAGCTGTTAATTATTTATGATTTTTCCTTCACATGGATCTATCTCTACGCACCTAAACACTACATTGTGAACTGATGTGTAATATTAGCATCTAGGTTTATAACATTATATTAATATTGAAATAGCTTCCACATGGAATATTAATTAATGACACAAAACAAATGAGGTTACTGATATATTAGCACGTTTTTACTTTGTCTGCTTATTATTTTCTAAAAGTGTCATGCATTAAGTGATGACGTAAAGTAGGTTGTAGAATTATTAAGACCGCTAAATATTACAAGAACAGAGTAATATATTCAATAATGCATAATTATTAATAATTATAACATAATTATATTAAATAATAGTCATTTCATGTAAACTTTCTAGTAATGCTACTAGATGACTACTTAATCTGTCTATACAGGTGTGTGACTACTAATATTCTTCAGGACAAATGGGAAGGCATTGTGCTTGACACAGTACTGTGACACATAATAATGACAACAAATAACGATGACTTACATAATAAAGCATTTGCAACACAAACATCAGCAATGCATTAAACTGAAACCTATCAGCAGCCCAGTAGTAAACACAAGTGCAATCCAGCCACTTTTTAGAGAAGAACACTGACACTACTACCATTTGGTTATATTTAATGTAATTGTGCCACTATGACTCCTTCGGCCAAAGAATTGGTGCAATAGTATATATATATAAAGAGAAGCTTAGCACAAATATAGTCAAGCCCAGGTAAGAAATGGTACAGAAAATGAGAAATTACAGAAATTTTTCTCGAGTAAGTTGTCGATGTAATGCATGCGCGTTCCACCAATATAACTTGCACTGTTTCCATCCCCTTAAACACCCATCACATGAGTGAAAGTAAGGTATATGTTACAACACTAACCTTGTTTATTATCGATAGTTTCTGATGGAGTCTGTGTCTGCTTTGTGTAGGTCACCTGCTCTTTTGGCAGAATATTTGTCTGTGTCACCTTGGATAATCCCAATCTTCCAATGCGTCGTGGACTACGGCAAATTACACACATATCTAACATAAGGTCAACCACACAAATCATGTTGTAGTGGAGAATAACGAAATCAGGGTGCGAAATTAACGGGAGTCCGGAGTCAAATACTCCCTGATTTGACATATGCAGGAGTCCGTGTGACTCCCTGACAATTCTGCCATTCTAACTAGTTCTTTTCAGAGCACGGCCTCGCGGAATGACCGTATTCTTTCAGTAAAAGTACAAAGAAAATTTGGCAGACATGCAACCGCATGAATCATAAAAATATGCACATGTGTTATTGTTAATATCTTTAATTTTGAACTTCAGACTGCGGACTCCCTCATTTTGCTGCAGACTTTCTCTTTTTGAGGGTAGGGAGTCGAGTCCGTTGGACTCCCGTGTTCAAAAGTTAATTTCTACCCCTGCGAAATTATTTATCATCATATAGTTTTCAAACGCAATTATTTTTAAAAGTGCCTGCAATTAATTACACGAATGACACCAACTTTTAGATTGGGGTGTTTTCCAGCCAGATTTGTTATTTTGAATTATATGTGAATGATTTTACCTAGGGCAAGCTGACAATTGGGCAGCATCTCCTGAATCTTGGCTGCCTGTACTTGCTGCAGATGAGGACACAGGTTGACTTCCATCAATAGGAGGTTGCACTGCAGTCGGTTTTGGCTTATCAACTATGTATCCAGAAGATAACAATGTTATAAACAAGTGTAGTTTGACAGATGTCACTCTTTCTGTGTGTCTGTCTGTCTGTCTGTCTCGCTCGCTCGCTCTATCTCTCTCTCTCTCTCTCTCTTTCGCTCTCTCTCTCTCTCTCTCTCTCTCTCTCTCTCTCTCTCTCTCTCTCTCTCTCTCTCTCTCT